TGAATACATGTGTCAGTTTGTATGTTAGATTTCTAACAAAGGTGTAACTATATGTGTAGGTTTGTGTGTTAGATATCATACAAAGTTGTGACTACATGTGTCAGTTTGTGTGTTAGATATCTAACAAAGGTGTGACTACATGTGTCAGCTTGTGTGTTAGACATCTAACAAAGGTGTGACTACATGTGTAGGTTTGTGTGTTAGATATCTAACAAAGGTGTGACTACATGTGTAGGTTTGTGTGTCAGATATCTAACAAAGGTGTGACTACATGTGTAGGTTTGTGTGTTAGATTTCNTCATACAAAGCTGTGACTACATGTGTCAGTTTGTGTTGTGTGTAAGATATCTAACAAAGGTGTGACTACACGTGTCAGCGTGTTTGTTAGACATCTTACAAAGGTGTGACGACATGTGTAGGTTTGTGTGTTTGATATATAACAAAGGTGTGACTACATGTGTAGGTTTGTTTGTTAGATTTCTAACAAATGTGCGACTAAAAGTGTAGGTTTGTGTGTTAGATATCTTACAAAAGGTGTGACTTCATGTGTCAGTTTGTGTGTTAGGTATCTAACAAAAGTGTGACTGAATGTGTCAGTTTGTGTGTTGGATATCTAACAAAAGTGTGACTACAAGTGTACGTTTGTGTGTTAGATATCTAACAAAAGTGTGACAACAAGTGTAAGTTTGTGTGTTAGATATCTATCAAAGGTGTTAGTACATGTGTCAATTTGTGTGTTAGATATCTAACAAATGTGTGACCTAAGGTGTAGGTTTGTATGTTAGATTTCTAACAAAGGTGTGACTACATGTGTCAGTTTGTGTGTTAGATATCTAACAAATGTGTGACTACATGTGTCAGTCTCTGTGTTAGATATCTAACAAAGCGGTGACTACATGTGTCAGTTTGTGTGTTAGATATCTAACAAAGGTGTGACTTCAAGGTTTGTGTTTTAGATATCTAACAAATGTGTGATTACATGTGTCAGAGTGTTTGTTAGATATCTAACAAAGGTGTGACTACAAGTGTAAGTTTGTGTGTTAGATATCATACAAAGCTGTGACTACATGTGTCAGTTTGTGTTGTGTGTAAGATATCTAACAAAGGTGTGACTACACGTGTCAGCGTGTTTGTTAGACATCTTACAAAGGTGTGACGACATGTGTAGGTTTGTGTGTTTGATATATAACAAAGGTGTGACTACATGTGTAGGTTTGTTTGTTAGATTTCTAACAAATGTGCGACTAAAAGTGTAGGTTTGTGTGTTAGATATCTTACAAAAGGTGTGACTTCATGTGTCAGTTTGTGTGTTAGGTATCTAACAAAAGTGTGACTGAATGTGTCAGTTTGTGTGTTGGATATCTAACAAAAGTGTGACTACAAGTGTACGTTTGTGTGTTAGATATCTAACAAAAGTGTGACAACAAGTGTAAGTTTGTGTGTTAGATATCTATCAAAGGTGTTAGTACATGTGTCAATTTGTGTGTTAGATATCTAACAAATGTGTGACCTAAGGTGTAGGTTTGTATGTTAGATTTCTAACAAAGGTGTGACTACATGTGTCAGTTTGTGTGTTAGATATCTAACAAATGTGTGACTACATGTGTCAGTCTCTGTGTTAGATATCTAACAAAGCGGTGACTACATGTGTCAGTTTGTGTGTTAGATATCTAACAAAGGTGTGACTTCAAGGTTTGTGTTTTAGATATCTAACAAATGTGTGATTACATGTGTCAGAGTGTTTGTTAGATATCTAACAAAGGTGTGACTACAAGTGTAAGTTTGTGTGTTAGATATCATACAAAGCTGTGACTACATGTGTCAGTTTGTGTTGTGTGTAAGATATCTAACAAAGGTGTGACTACACGTGTCAGCGTGTTTGTTAGACATCTTACAAAGGTGTGACGACATGTGTAGGTTTGTGTGTTTGATATATAACAAAGGTGTGACTACATGTGTAGGTTTGTTTGTTAGATTTCTAACAAATGTGCGACTAAAAGTGTAGGTTTGTGTGTTAGATATCTTACAAAAGGTGTGACTTCATGTGTCAGTTTGTGTGTTAGGTATCTAACAAAAGTGTGACTGAATGTGTCAGTTTGTGTGTTGGATATCTAACAAAAGTGTGACTACAAGTGTACGTTTGTGTGTTAGATATCTAACAAAAGTGTGACAACAAGTGTAAGTTTGTGTGTTAGATATCTATCAAAGGTGTTAGTACATGTGTCAATTTGTGTGTTAGATATCTAACAAATGTGTGACCTAAGGTGTAGGTTTGTATGTTAGATTTCTAACAAAGGTGTGACTACATGTGTCAGTTTGTGTGTTAGATATCTAACAAATGTGTGACTACATGTGTCAGTCTCTGTGTTAGATATCTAACAAA